CCCTGCTTGAGACAGACCTGCCCGTCTGCGCTGAGGTGATAGCACAGGCGTTTGCCTTGGGTGCAAAACTTTTTTAAGTTTTAACAATAACAAAAAAAAATTTTAAAAGGTGATTCTTATTGTGAGGAGTGCAAGTGGATGAGGGTGTGCAGAGGATGACGTTTTTTTTGGCTCATCCACTTGTGCACAACCTGACCCCTGACTGTCTTGGTCAAAGCCTGGTGCCGCTGAGGCTGCATCGAGCTCAGCCGTACCTTGCGATGTGCGTACGCGTACCTTCAGTAATGCCGTGCGGGCACGTTCTCAGATAACCTGCCCATCTCCGCTTGTCAAAGGTGATGGCAGTCGGAGACTGGTGTGGTGCTGCTCGAAGTGCAAGGACTCTGTTTATTGCTCCGAAGCATTCGTTCCAGCCACGTGTGGGTGTGAGGTCTGTGATGGCTCGGGGAGGTACGTGGCCCTGCCACCCCATGGGAGCTGGAGGGTGACGCACAGCCACCATCGCCTATTAACACCTCGTGGCCCGACGGCTCCAGGAGCCTCATACTGAGTAGCTGGTGCCAGGAGAAATGGTGCTAAAGGCTGCTCCGCATGGCAGCATCCTCCTCCTCCTCCTCTGCCACCAAAGCCAATTATCAGATGAATGCTTCTCTAGAAAGCACAACTATTTCTTGCGATGGAACAGTATGTTGTGTGGGTCTCGTAGTCTCCCACATTTCCCTTTTAAAGGCTCAAACGTTAATGTGTATGGCAGATTCGTCTCCAAAACGCATTTGTGGGTGTCATCAAGTTTGAGGATAATACTGTGCCTCTTCTACTTCACGTCCCTCTTGATCCAGTCTCACTTGGTGCTTCTAAATAGTGTTTGTGGTGAGTTTATGATGAGGAGAACTTGGCTGCTGACAGTGCGGTTTCATAAAACCGGTATTAGGGGAGCACAGTTCATGCTCTTTGCAGTGGTTGGCGTTCATCTTATCTCTTCTTGAATTTTAATTTGTATTAATGTTTTGCTGCTGCATGTATCTAACAGTTGACAAATGACTGCTGTAATTAATCTAGTTTGCAGTTATTGAAATCAATAGAGTGAACTTCAAATTATCATCTTTTAACGTGCTGATAAATTATCCTGGGCAAAGTCACTGCTAAGGGTTTTAAAATGATGCAACTTTAGCAGATGCCTGGATTATCTATTAACATCTGCTGGAAACCATCAAAATAAAAGGTGAGGCTGATGTTACTTTTACCATGGTGTTAGGGCTGACTTTGTTCATTGTATATATTTTTAAAAAGACCCTAAACCCACCTAATATGGAAATTCCCTCAAATGCATTAGCTTGGATAGTACTTGTTATGCCGCATAATAGACAAACTGAGCAGTTAACTGCTCTGCCACGGTCCGCTGAGCAAACCGTAGAGTAACGGAGAAATTCTGTAGCTGAAAATACTTGGAATGTTTGGTTAAATTTTCCTCTTAATTTCACTAAATTGAAAATAATCAGACTTGATCTTTGAACGGAACATATTTGTTTGAAGTACCTCATTTTTTGTTTGAATTTATTTTTTGAAGCTTATTAAGTTTCAAAGAAAACATTGCAATATTTTCAGAAGAGAAAAGTCAAGCCAGAGCCCTTAAAACTTCTCCTATTTTTTTTTATTTTTTTTTTAACCTCAACCAACGCACTGATATCTGCACTAAGGAGTCACGTGCTATGGTTGAACTAAAACCTTTTTTGCATAAAAATGGAAAGTGCTCAGTTTGCGCTGACAGCCTTGCTGGGGGTTGTCTGCGCTGAGGACGCACAATTTGTGGCCACTTATGTCTGTTGAACTCATCCCTCTGGCTTTCGACAACTCTTTAGTAAAACTCTGAGATTTTATTGAATGGCACTAGGGTTTTTTGATGCGCTGGCCGGCGGTCACAGAACTTGCTCTCAGCTGCAGTGCTGTGGAGGGGCAGAAGAAGGGCTGAAGGGTGGCTACACGAAGGTGGCCCTGAGGGTCCTCGCTGCGGCTGGGGGGAGGAGCAGTGCTCCTGCCCCCCCCAGGGAGAGTGTTTGAGAGCTCTGCTGCTGTCTCGCTCTTCATCAGAACAAGCGTTACCACCTCCAGGTTTGCTGTGAGAAAGGAAGGTATCACTGGTCCTGGCACGGCTCTGGCGCTGGCGGAGCCCATGGTGCCGTTGGGGTCCTGGACCAAGTGTCGAGGTCCCTATTTAATCTGTCTGCGCAGGCGTCCTCTCCAAATAATCCGGAGTGGGTGGGAGGGAGACCACGTGTGCGTGGAGCTCTGTGTGCCGAGGAGCGGAGCCCTGGAAGAGGTGCTGGGCTCCTGCGTTCACCTTATTTCTGCTTGCTCAGGCATTGTCTCCTGGAGCCACAGTTCAGAGACAACTCTTTCATCTTTAGCTGGGTACTTTCCTTGACTTAAAGTAAGGTCACATCACCCGCTTGTATTGGAAAAGTCTTGTGCTTTGTTTGCTCCAAACAAACAGGCAGGAGGAGAGCTGAAGTGTAATCTGCAGTGCCCAGCCTCCCATAGACACGGAAACCTGTGAGCAAGGTGCCTGGGGGAGCTGAGCTGCTTGGTTGTGCCTCTGCTGATTGCATCCTTATCTGGGGCCAGCTCTCGGTGGTGACCCTTGTAGGCACACCTTTACTTCTTCATTTGAATGTCCCTTGGTAATCTAAATAACCCAGATTAGTTCCCAGCTGCAGAGAACAGCTCCCCCAAGCACTGATCTTGAGGAACCCCACAAAGTTTTAGGTTGAGTAGCATTGCACAAGAGTTTCTTAGCACTTAGTTTAGGTCTCTCCAGACCCAAAGAAATGCATGGCGGTGGAGGAGAGGTCTGTTGCTGGTGTTGGAGAGGAACCTTGCTGCTCTACAAGCGTCTCGCCTGCAGCAGCGGCAGAAGGAGGTGGCTTGCACGGGTGAAGGACGCCACTGAATTTGCTTTCGCACTGATGGAAGTGTCATGTTGGGATGTTCTTGCAGGAAATGCTTGAGAAACGTTTGGGGTGAGAAGACAACAGTAGGTTCGGGTTGCTTAGTTTTTATATCCAGCATGAGCAAGTTTCAAGCCTGTAACTCCATCAGAAGATCACGAGGGCTGTTGAAAACCTCAAGGAATGGAGCTTGCATGGTTTTGAAATAGAAATCAGAGCTCAAGAGAGGAAACCATGCCAGGCATCCACATCTGGCGATGCAGATCGTGTCCATAGTCTGTTATTTTATCTGCTGCTTCTCAGGACATTTAGTCCTCATAAGTTGGATTGTGTAACTCGAGGTGAGGGTAAAGATCAGGTTTTGCCCTTTTAAAATCTTCATCCCTGTAGATTCAGATCGTGTCTTAAGGGTAGGAGAAGTGCAGGGATATCTTTTTACAGTCTGCTAGCAGGGGTGTCAGTGGGGATATTCATGACCCCTGAGCCAGCTGATTGCAACTGTACAGGATCAGCAGCAGCTCGAGCTGCCCTGAGCCTGGCAGCTCCATTTTGCATCCCACCGGTGGTGTTTTGGCAGTAGCTTCATGGCCGTCCTATGGAGGATGAGCACCGTCCCGCCCCAGCAGTGATGGCCTTTTGCAGCAGAAGCGGTCGATGAAAACCCTGGCCGTGAGTCAGATGATGGGTGTCTCTGCCTGCACAGCAGATGTCTAGGGCTGTGGGAGGAGGTGGGGATAGGAGCGAGCTGGTGGGCATCAGTGTGTGCCCCAGAGATGGACGTTGCCAGCTCCGCACCGGGAGCTGGGCCGGCGGTGTTAAGCTCGCATCAGCTGCTCGTGGACGCTTCAGAGGAGAACGAAAGGATCTAGAGGTGGACAATTACGCGTTGCCCTGACTGTGGGGACTACTTGCTCAGTTTTCTTCCAGCTCCTCAATAGTTATTGTTTGATACATACCCTGACGTCAGAGGGTTTGTGGGTTTTAATTAGTAACCCTGGGCCATTTAGTTATCCATGCAAATATCCAGTCCTCTTCTGAATCCTACTTAATTCTTAGCATCCTCCAGCAATCATCTACACAGGAAAATTTGCACTATGTTATAACTAACAAGAACTTTGTGTAGTAAGTTGCTGCTCTACGGTTTCATTAAAAAAATAAAATTAAATTAAATATGTATTTTGTAGGCTGTTCCATTGCTTAAAAGAAAACAGTTCTGGAAATGTGAAGGTCTAGCTGAAACATTTTACAGCTAGTATTTTCCTTCCCAGTTCAACTTCCAGATTGCATTTGTCATGTTCTTCCAAAAGTCCCAGCTGTCTAATGGAAAAAGGAAAAAGCTTGCTTTTGCTTTTCTGGGGCTCTTTCTCCAAAATCCATGGTTTCAGCAATAATCAGGAAACTGAGTTTCAGAGTGAAGAGAACTGAGTTACTGTCCCATTTTTAATGAGTCAAAATGTAAGTGTTTTATTTTGAAACCAGCTTGCTAGCTCTACGGGGCAACCTTTGTTCTTTTTATTTTTTACAGCGCCTTGTACCATGGGACTGACTCTGTGTGTAGGATTAGAAAGCCTGTAAGCTCTGATAATACCAAGTAATTAACAATCTATCAGGAGCTGATTCTTGGAGGTGAAGTCAAAGTTTTTGTTTAATGACCCTTAGCAAATTAATTGATACTTGGGTGTCTGTGAGTTCAAGAAGGAGCAAGATGGAAAGCAAAGGTGTTTGGGGTTTGCTCTTTTCACTTTTCCCAAACACTAAACCATGCAAGCTAAATAAGGATAGGGCAGTTCCTGAAAATTACTGGAAACAGAATAAATTTCTAAAGATCCATTAAATGTGTGAGCTGCAGCAGCAATAAGAAAATATTTAGACAATGCTTAGATATTGAAAAATAAACTTTATAATGATGGTATTTTGAAAATGGTTTTGTGCTTCCTTGTCATGATTTTGTCCCTGTAGTGGCTGCGTTTATACCCATGTTAGCACCAGCTGCTTATCTCTAAACATTGTCTGCAGCTCTAAGAGTACCTCACCCATTTCTCTATCTTACTGCAGGTAGAGCTTCACATCCACCTGGATGGAGCCATTAGACCAGAAACAATCTTGCACTTTGGCAGGTGAGTTGTGGGGAGGGAGCAAAGCTCTGGGAGCTGCAGTCCAAAAGCATCATCCCTTCTGCTTGTCCAGTTCTCCGACAGAAGAGCTCGTGCTGGCAGGCTGGGAAAGCTCTCTCCCCTGTTGTGCAGGGAGCCAGCCTGGCTGGTGCTGGTCTTATCTCTGCACAGACGGGTCCTCTGGCCGCATGGTGCGAGAACGTTGAGCACATCCCAAAAAGCAGTGCTGCAGCTAGGCTGCACTGGTGGCAGGAACGTGAGCGCGGTGGTCGTCGGTCCTGTGAGCTGGACAAGCTAAGAGGAGCCACCATGAGAAAAGTACAGAAGATGTCTCATAAACAGAGCTGCCTGCCTTTGAAGTTTACCTGGGAAATGGCAGAGTTGGTGTATTCTTGTTTCTTTTTCCACGTTACTAATTGCAAAAGCAAGTTAAATGAAAGCAGGCTGGGAGCGTCTTCTCAGTGGTGGTGCCGTACCACAGTCTTGGGAGAAAAAACCAGCTTGGGTGCTCCTCCCTGCCCTGCTGCTGCGTGCCTTGGAACCCAGGCTGTCTGCCCGGTGCGAGCAGTGAGGGAGTTGTGCTCGTGGGAGGGTGATCCAGGAAAGCGCTTGGCGGTGACTTAGAGAGGCTGTTTCCTTGTCAGAGCCCACGTGCGTCCTCTTGCTTCAGCGAAGCTTGTGTGGGAAGCACCAGGGCGAATGATTAACTGGTGCGAGGACCTGGCTCCACAGTTGTAAGCAAAATAAACTTAAGGCTTCTTCTAGCTGTCACTATTCAAAAAGCTAATGGACACTAGCAGATACCCTCAGATTGAGAAAGTGGCAAGCTTAAAGGTTTTGGGAAACAGCTCTTAGGCATGACTTTGGTGATCTGGGGAGGAAATCAGTTCTGAGGAGGATAGGAAGCGGTTCCGGTGTCCTGTGAGCCCAGCAGACTCCAAGGCAATGTGATCCTAGGGGGAAATAGTTTCTAGGGCAGCTTTTTCTGCAGGGAGTGGCCATACGTTTGGCAGTGCAGTTGGAGTAAAGAAGGTGGCTCAGAGATGTCCATCTCATTCATTGCAGGACATCTGTGTGGCAAGCTGACTTGGGATTCCTGCATGGTGGGCTGCAGGGCTGGAATACAAGTCCTGATGGACAGGAGAGTCGGTGCTGACTCCCTGGGGCTCTGCTGGGTGCCTGCTGCCAGCAAAGGACAACTGCTGGTTGTAGTCCCCAGGAGGGATGTAGGAGCCCTGAAGCCCAGGAGACAGCAGCCATCTGAGGATCCCGTGCCTCTCTCTTGCTTAGGACAGAAACCTTCGTTGCCCGAGTGTGTGCCGAGTTCCCTCTTACTTTTAAACAGCCCCGGCACCCCTGGGGCTGCCAGCCCCCGGTGCTGTGCTTGGCCGGGGTGGAGCAAGGCTGTGCTATTCATGGGCTCTAAAGCTAGGGCTCACACGCATGTAAAAGCAACAGGGCAGTGTAGGAGGCTGTAGGAGACTGCCTTAATAACCTCACCCTGGACACAGAAAGCTGCTTGTGGTCTATTTTTAAAGGTAAAGAGCTAGAAATAAATTTGCCACGTGGTGGCTGACCATGTACAAATAGCCCAAAGCCGCTGGGATGCACAAGCCCCCTTGGGCAGTGGCTGAACTTGGCTGGTTTTAGAAACTTTGGCTCCAATTCTGTCAGGTCTGGGTCAGGCTTTGCATCCCCCTTGCCCAGCCAAAGGGTATAGAGCCGTGGCAGATCCCTTGTGGGACGGGGTGTCCCCAGACGAGGTGTTCCTCTCTGCAGCGGGACGGTGTGCGCAATGCTGCCCGTGGCTGGAGCTAGCTCTGGGCAGGACACCGAGCTGCCGGCTGCATGGAGGTAATCCTTCGGAAAGCACATGAAAGACGTCAGGGAAATGGCTTTGCTGTAAGAAACTTTCCCTAGGCAGGTGGAGGAAGATGTGGGCTGGTTCCTGGAGCAGTGCCGTGGAAAGGGCAAGGCGAGGAGGAAAACCGATGCCTTGGCGGTGATGAACGTTCCCTGCCAAGTGCCAGCAACTTAATCTGTGCAGATTGCATGTGAAGGCTGAGCGTGGGGCTGGTTTCCTTCCTGCCCGAGCAGAGAACAAGCAATGTTTCCTGGGCCCAGGAGGGGGTCGTTTGGGCTGCTTCCCTGCAAGGTGCTCATCGGGACGGCTGCTGGCGTCGGGGCGCTAACGCTGTCTGTGGTGGTTTGTCCTTATCAGCAGAGAGATCCATCAATCGGCTGTAAAGTGTTGTGGCAGGAAAGAGGATTAAAAACAACTGTCTAGTTATTATTCCTAATTTAGGTTGGCGTTCACGGGCAGAGTGACAGCCTGTGGGGTGGGGGTGGCAGAGCCTGCCTGGGAAGCGTGCAGCACCCTCGTCTCGCGGCCCCCTAAGCCCCGCTGTCACCCCACCAGGGACACCTCCACCCACCCAGGACTCCAGGTGCTCCAGGGACAAACAGCCTCTTCCCTCTTGGAAGGGTTTAGGTGGGCTTTACCACCTCCATCCCTTTGGTGAGAACAGTTGTTGGGACTGCCATTTCCTCCTGCGTGGGAGGTGTCCCCATCAGAGAAGATGCCACCGTGATGTTGGGCTTGGGAAGTGGCTTGCTCACAGGAGCTGCTGGCGTTAAACCCGCGAGCCACGCTTCTTGCATGTGTGATCCTGGACCTGGGCGCGTCTCCACGATTTTTCAAGCCTTTGAGCCTGCATAACTGGAAATTAATTTTTCTAAAGAATTTTGGCAATTCTGCCACTAGGACTAGGAGGTGCCAAGAAATAATCCAGAGCCCCTTTAGATGAACTCCTTCTTAAGCTTAAAATGTGCTCTGGCTGTGTTCCTGCCGGGTTGGTCTGGGCTTGTGTTTTGATTTGTTTGTGCTTTGCCTGTATTTTGGATTGCCTTCCTCTCCGCTGAGATCCAGGGCTACATCTGCGAGGAGATTTTAGAAGGACAACATGTGCCATATCTTTTTTGTGAGGAAGTGGAGGTTAATACTGCCAGCTCAGGATGCAATTGCTGTATGAAGTGGACTGATTAGAAATCCGATAGCCTTCCCCATCAGTAACACATGGCTTTATCCCCAGGAAAAGAGGGGTTCCTCTCCCTGGCAGCACGGTTGATGACCTCCTGAAGCACGTCAGCTACAAAACACCACTGACACTTACCCAATTTCTAGAAAAGTTTAATCACTACATGCCTGCTATTGCGTAAGTACCCTATGTTTTGCTTCTTACCCCGAGCCCTTGGCAGCACCCGTTGGCTAACGTTGCTCAGCCTTGGAGGTCACCTTGCCCATCCCCAGTGTGCCCCAAGGGTGACAAGTCCCAGTGATGGGTCCCACTGCCGTCCCTGCAGGGGTGACCGTGAGGCAGTGAGGAGGATCGCCTACGAGCTTGTAGAAACGAAAGCAAAAGAAGGTGTCATCTACGTGGAGGTCCGGTACAGCCCTCACCTCCTGGCCAACTGCCGCGTGGATCCCATCCCCTGGGGCCAAACCGAGTAAGTGATCCCGCTGTGCCAGGGAGCCGATGGGTGGCCGGTTGGACATGGAGAAGGCATGGCCCATGCTGGTCTTCAAAGTCTGGTGTAACCAAACCTCCTCTCTCCTCCAATGCAGTGAGCGTGGCACTCTTCCACCTCTCTTCCCCATCAATATGATTTGTCCTCTGATAACATCTCTGTGTGCTGTCGTGTTTTAACCTCCCTTGCTTTGGACAAGTAATTCTGCACGTGCAGAGCAGCTGTGCTCAAACTTCTGGCTGAAGCCGTTCTCTGTGCGAGGGAAAGCAGCGTTCAGATATGGATTGCCTGCCTGCAAAATGTGAATTTGAGCTGGCAAAGACCATGGGAAATGTTGGAAGGGCCTGGCTATCCAATCCCTTCTTTGCATGGCATCCCCTGTGTGACATGTGCCTCTGATTAAATCGGTGCTGGGCTCTGTGGCCCCTTGCAAAATGTGCTGTGATGGGTGTTGAGCCCCCATGCTTGCCCCTGCCCGGCTGCAGGCAGTTGTGTGCCCTAATGAAGTGCTCTGGCAAAGAGCAGGTTCCTCTGCTCGGGCAGGATTGGCATCGAGTTCCCCGAGGCCTTTCTAAATCTTACTATCATCTTTGCATGCTTTTGTGCCCGACACCTGGTAGATCTGGGCACGGCGTGGGTGTAAAAGGTGCTCTTCGGCTCTGGGCGGTCTCATCGGGCTCCTCTGGATGTTAAGGCGAGTGGGACCCCGGGCAGCCTGGGGTTTTGCGTGGGGTGTCCCCTGGGGATGCTGGGCTGGACCTGCAGCTCCTGCCTGCCTCCCTGGTGGGTGTCCGGCCTCTTGCTGACGTCTTTTCTTCCCTGCAGGGGAGACCTCACTCCAGATGAAGTCGTTAACCTCGTAAATCAGGGACTACAGGATGGAGAAAGGGATTTCCGCATCAAAGCCAGGTCTATTCTATGCTGCATGCGCCATATGCCAAGTAATGTATTGCAGCTCCCCTGCTGCTCTGCTCCCCTTCCCTGACGCGTGGCGGGGGGGGACGTCCCCTGGGTTCAGGTCCCCGCAGGTCCAGTTCCTGGGTCTGATGCGGGACCAGGCAGTGCTGAGGAGGAGTAGGGGTTTTCTTCTTGGTGGGGGTTGTCTGCTCCCTTCACTGTGGGGAGAGGGTCTGCTGGATGCGAGAGTGGGGGTCTGTGGGTACGACCAGTACATGAAAGATCTTGCTAGAAGACTTTTCTAGATTTTTCAAGAACTGGCAATTCTGTCCCTTCCTGGGGAGATGTGATTTCTGCTTGTAACTCGCTCCCTGCCCAAAGGCTGGAGCTCTCCTTGGGCCAGTTGAAGCCATCGCCACAGCGAGCAGTTGCATCTGCTACGACCGTCTGGTGGGTCTGAGAGCGAATGGTCACAGGAGGAGGACCAGGCATGAGATCTCACACTTCCCCTGCTCGTGGTTTCGCTGCTACAGCAGCGTACTCCTTCATTAGCCTGGACCATGGATCACCAGAGAACCTGCTGGCTGTGGTCTCTGCTGGTTTAAGCTAAAAACACAAGTAAAATATACTTAAGTCACATGTATAAACTGTTTTTCGTAAAATCAGCAGCTCTGAATGTTGTTGGTAACTGATGCTGTGACCCAGAGTAGGAAGGAAACCCAATTTCCAGTGTTTCATTGGGCTGCCAAGTTCCGCGAGCATCTTCCTCTAGGGGAGGATGCAGTCAGAGCGAGGATGTGTGACAGTAGCTGTTCTATGCCTTTGCTATGAATATCTTCATATCTCACAACAGTTTTATGTAGGCTTAGCAGAGCAGATAGTGCAAAGATCTTTGTTAATGAGTACTTGGTTAATTTGTGTATAGAAATGTGAAAAATTCTATTCTTGGAAACTGGGAGATTTGAGAGTGGTGATTTTTTTTTTTTTCCCTGCCTGCACAATCAACCCCAAACAGTACTTTGAAAACTTGACCCTTAAATTTCTGGTTTCTAGGAAGAAAACATTTCTCTTTGTAGAAACTGGAAAGCCGTAAGGCGGTATCACACTTGGCTGCGGTTACAGTCTCTGCCAAGGCACAAGTGGTAAAGGCAGAAGGTGGTGGGAGCATCTGAGGGCACGTGCAGAATGTGCTTGCACAGCAGGAGGGATTGCTTGTGCGGACAACTGTTCTCATTCCTGTGTCCCAGGGCACCAACTCTTACCCAGAGCCAGTGATGCTCTCGATACAAGCCTTTAGTGCTGCGTTCGGGATGTGCCGCACAGCGAGAAGCCACCCTGTAATTTAGGAGCTGCTGAGAGAAAGGCAGGGATGCCAGCCGGAACTACCTCATATGAAACTCGTTAATAAAATAATAGCTCTAACCCAGTGAGTTGGAAACTGATGAAAAAAGATGAAATTGCACACGTTTCCTTACGTGTTGGTCTGATTTGGGGTTTGTATGTACACAGCAGGTGCCTGTTAATTATTAACACTACCCTTTATGTCTGTTCCTTGGCCTTTTTGCTAAGGGTAAGTGCTATGTGAGCTGGTAGATGCATGTCCTTTCTCAGAGGTTATCTTCTCTCCTGATCAGAGAGAGCTCTGAAGTAGTTGTTGGCCCCTTGTTACTCCCTTTCTCACTGATACCAAAAAGATAAAACTTTGCGAGCGTTAAAGGCCAGACTTCCAGGAGGCTACGCAGCTCCTTCCCACCAGGAGTAGCATCCATCGTCTTGTCTGGGGGGGTCAAGGATGCTCTGCAACAGGGCAGGGCTGACTGTCGTGCAGGGCACCCCCCGAGATCCCTCCCAGCCCAAACTCCTCCGTGACACAACTTGTCTGTCCGACAGGACGGTTCTTCCCTCGCCCACCTGGGACGGGGTGAAAGCTCAGGAGCAAGCTGAGGGATTTCTCCCGCACCCCGTGTTACGGCCCCTGGGCTGTGCAGCTCAGCTTGCCTTGGGCCAACTGCAGAGTCACGCTGTGTTCGGAGGGGTTTTTTCTGTTTTCTTTTTTCTTTTCTTTTTTTTTTCCCCCCTGCCAAAAGTGAGCAGAAAAACGTGATGAGAGCAGCTTTATAGCTGGTAAATGCATTTGATTTCCCTTTGATTGATGATGGATTAATCAGTTGGCAGCTTTTATTTGCCTGAAGATGGCAGATCTTCCTAGCAGTTTGTTAGCTTTCTTTTTGAGCATCAAATTTTAGGAAAGACCAAAGAAAATAGCTCTAGCCTTCTCGTTATAGGACCAGGATTTGTTTAGAAAAATGCTGAAGGTGTGACTCTTACCGATGCTTTCTCCTGAACCCTGGTGCTGTCTCTTCCAGGCTGGTCTCCGGAGGTGGTGGAGCTCTGCAAGAAGTATCGAAACAACTCTGTGGTGGCCATCGACCTGGCTGGGGATGAGTCCCTGAAGGTGAACAATTCCTCCGAGCATAAGGCGGCTTACGAGGTTTGTTTAATGAGCTTCTTGAAAGAAATTATGAGAAAAACATATATTGAGGGGACATGCGTGAGGGCATACGTAGTATGTTAGTCTGATTGGAAACAGCTGAGACAGCTTAAAAATTTGTTGCAGCTATTAAAAACATTCTGTTAAATAGCAAAAGTATTTGTTTATGTTTCCTGAATGATTAATGTCAGGCATCATTGCTTAAACATGGCCTTAGAGCTGGAGCTCAGCACGCTACCCCGTAGCACTGCGTGCGACACGAGTGACGTGGAGCCCGTGCTCGCCCCGGCAGCGCCGTGCTGCTGTCAGCTGGGGGCTGCTCCTGGGGTCGGCAAAACCACGGCCGAGGGTGGAAGAGACTGGCCTTTCCATCTGGCAGAAATCACCCCAGGAGGCAGAGAAGAAGCGGCGTGTTTGAAGTGCTTTTATCTGATCGTCTCAAATGCAAATGCTGGAATGACTTCAGGAGCCTGACCAGAGGCTCTCACCAGACCTCAGCGCTCAGAGGGAAAGCTTCACACCTCCTTGCCGCTGGGAGTTTGGGGTTGCTGGTCCCCTGCGTCAGTGGGAGAGGAGGCTGCGTGCCATCACTGCCCAAAAGGACGGTGGTTTGCAAGCAGCGCTCAGGTCTGAAATGACACGGGGCTTTCTTGGGGTCTTTGCCCCCGTCAGCGGGCGTCAATACAAGGTCTGTGCTGGCTGAACTGTGTGGTGATAAACTGAGACGCGGGCACAGGGTTTGATTAACCGACTGGGATGCCGGCAGTACTCGGGTCCAGACTCCCCCATCTGAAGGATGCGTCGTGTCTCTGTGCCAGGCACTGAGATGCTGAAGCAATCGCTGCTCCCGACCATTGGCTCCTCTTGGCCTGCGTGGCAGGGAAGCGCATCCCCATAAATACTGCTGCTGTGCTCCATGGCGTACGTAATGCATCCAGGGGAATGGGAGAGACCCGTTGTGTCACCCAGGCAGGCGCGTTCTGCCTCGGAGCTCTCGGGGCTGCTGGAGGGGAAAGAGCGGATAACAGCGAAAACTCAGCGTTGCCTGCTGGTTGCAGAGGGGCACAAGCCAAGGATCCCGGATCCACCGTGTCCCAGGAGACGGCGATCATGGGAGGAGAAGCCACGGGGAAGCACCATGTGTCCTCAGACAAATGGGTTGAAAAAGGGATTAAGCCGCTCCAGGGAAGATGTGCCTATGGATGGATGTTAGACATAAGCTCCTTCCTGGACACAGTGGATGGGGGGTCAGGCTTCAGTGGCCAGGAGAGTCAGTGGGGAAGTCCTGGTGCCTGTGGTGTTCCTCACCTCTCCGCTTGTATCCCTGGCTCCTGTTGGGATAGTTAAGGATGCCTGTCTTGGGACTGGGGAGCAAGAGTTTCTGGTTTATCTTCATCCTATGTAGAAACAAGTGGAAAATGTCAGTGCTGGTGTGAGTCTCTCTCTCTCTCTTCTTGGTCTGGTACTTTGGCCAGAGGGATTTGGTGATGTTAAAAAGGGTAAAATGTTAGCTGTTTGGGAAAAATCAACACTCACTTAAATGGGGGAAGTACAGACTGCCTCTTGGGTCGATGCACACAGGGTTCTTCTGTAGATGTCCCAGGCAGAGCCTGGCCTGACCTTTGCTGGGCCTGGATGTGCAGCACATGAGGAGCTGAAAATTAAGTAACTGAAAAAAAAAAAAAAGTCACGAGTGAAAAGCCCCAAAGGAGTGCCTGGGAAGAGTGTCTGCTGCGAGACGGGGCTTGCAGCCTGCACACCACCGCTGGCTGGGTGGCCCTTCTCCAGCAAGGCAGGAGCTGGGCTTCCCTCGAGGCTGTGCAGTTTCCCAAAGCCTGGGTGATCTGTGGTCACCCTGCAAGGGGTTTTTTTAGGGTGCTCATAGATAGCATCTCAAAAAGCCCCAAAGCTGCACCCGCAGGGTCTTCCCAGCTGGGCTGCCTCCATCCCCAGATCCTTCCAGGAGGGAGGTGCTCAGTGTCTGAGCATCGTTTCATCTCTGCCCTGGGGGCTTTTAAATTCTCCCACTTGGCTGCAGCCAGCCAAAAAGGTAGAAGTTTCAAAGACAGGAACTGCTGCGAGGTTCATGCAGAAGGGCAAGTGGGTGGAGGAAGGAGAGCTTCGAGCTTGCTATGCCGTCTGGAGAGGAGATGGCGGTGAGCTCACCCGGTATTAAAAGACCCTGAGGAGTCTGGCTGGGCTCCAGGGGAAGGTAACCAGGCTTTCTAAGTTTCTCTGCATCTGGCGTTACCGAGCTCTTCTCTCGCAGCCTGTGCTACAGCAGAGAGCGTGCGCCTCTCGGGGTGCAGGGCTCCTGATGTGGGGGTTCTTCGCGCAGAGCCCTGTTGCTTGCGGTGCCAGCCCAGGGGTTTGCTGACGTTGCTGCGGGTGATGGGACAAGACCGTGTCCTCCCTTTGCTTTGCAGGAAGCTGAAAGATGCGGGATTCATCGCACCGTCCATGCTGGGGAGGCCGGCCCGCCTGCCATGATCAAGGAGGTACAAGGAGCTCGCGGCTCAGGGCAGGGAACGGGAGGGACTGGGGCATCCCGAGGCAGAGAGGGGGGCAGGGGTGGGAAGTGCCCCTGCGCCAGGGAGAGAGGAGCCCAAGTCCTCTCCTATTCACAGCAGAGCAAACGTTGGGGACCCAGGCAGAGATCTGGCCCCGATGGCTCAGAGAAGGACCTCCCCGGAGCTGGCTCAATGGCGCGGGGTGTACCCATGGTGGGGCAGGGCTGTCTGGGCAGGCAGGAGCAGAGCTGGTGCACAGACGTTGTACGAGAGTTTTCCCGTGTTCTCTAGGCAGTTTATCTCCTGAAGGCCGAGCGCATTGGCCATGGCTACCATGTCCTGGAGGACCCCGAGCTCTACAAGGAGCTGTTGAGAGCAAAGATGCATTTTGAGGTGAGGATGTGTGGTGGGAGGGTGACAGGCAGATAGCTGCTGTCCGAGTCGAAAATCAGCCCTCGCTTGGGCTGTGCTACAGCCAGGCACCCAGGCGAGGGACACGACCCGACAGCCACGTGCTGACCGTGCGTGTGGTGACCCAGGTGCCCAAAGCTCCACAGCAACAACGGTGGTGACGCCTGGCTGTTTGCTGGGACCGTCGGTGCAAGGAGCACCGGTGCACACAGCAGCTTGCAGGAGGTGTGTAGCAGAGAGAAATGGATCCTGGTCTGGCTGAGGGTAAATTTTGGAGCGGCTATTCACTAATTTATATACATCAAGCCTGCAGGCTGCTCCTCCCACAAAACGAGCTGCCGAACCAGGGCCTGTCTGGCTGGAGGGGGGAAGTGCCTGGGAGTTACTGTGCGTGGGCAGATTTCCTTGGCTTTTCTCCAGAATGGGTGTATCCAACTAATCTATGGAATATATATGTGTATATACTTTATGCCAGGGGTTTCTTAACTGTGGTCAACATACGGCTGGTGGCTGACTGGCCACGGGAAATATCCCACCAGCTCCTGCCACTGTCACGCAGGCTGTGGGCTCTTCGTATCCATGTCCTGGGACGCGCACCGCTCCGTCGGAACAGCGCTGAGGGGCACTCGTGAACAAAGCTCTAAACCTGTATCTGGCTTTAGCAGCGTGCTTAGCTATCTGCGTATGCAGCTGGGGTTCAGATCTGTGCAGTTGATTCTGGTTTCCATGTTTAACTGCCCCAAACAGGTCTGCCCTTGGTCCAGTTATCTCACTGGAGCATGTCTTCCGGACTTTGGGAAACACCCAGTAGCACAGTAAGACTTCTCAATTATGTGCAATCTTGAATAACCAGGATTTGGGTCGATTACAGCTGCTTTACTGCTTTACAAAGGAAATACACACGTAACCACTTGGGAAAATGTGGGACATCCTCGCCCTTCGACACAGAGGGGCTCAGTGCAGCTGGAGGGGTGCAGGGTTCCTCGGGGAGGCTGTCCTGTCCCTCCTGCCCCTGCTCTGAGCTGGGGGGGTGAGATGCTGCCCACCAGGCATTAGCCCTTGGGGGTGAGAGCTGAGGCTGGTGAAGATGCCCGGCTCCTTGCTGCACTGGAGAAGCAGATCAGTGCGGAGCGGTGGGGAGACAAGCCAAGCCCTGAGGTTTTGTGCAGCAGTGCAAGCTGCAGGCACAGCTGTGAGGTCTTTGCTTTTACTGCATTTTACCCTTTACCCTGAGAAGTGCACGACCAGTGCCGCTTCCAGTGTTCAACCCCATTTCCTTACAGATTTCGGAAGGATCAAGCGAACTATTCTATAAACACGGATGACCCCCTCATCTTTAACTCAACTATTAACAAGGATTACAGCATAGTGAAGGACTACATGGGCTTCACTGAAGAGGAGTTCAAGAGAGTGGTAAGTCAGCCTCGGCTGGATGCTCTGCTGATGTGCTGGTGCAGCCCAGAACAATCCACTTTTTT